GTAACATCCTTTAAGGCTGCTCTTATGTCGTCTACACTCTGGATACCTCCTTTTGGTTTCACCAACAACATATTTCCTTGGATCTATTGGTTTCTGTGGACCTCGAGGAACAACCTGATCTTCGAGAAAAAACCATCAACGGCCGCTGAGATCATCTTCAAATCCATCGTCGCACTAAAGGAATGGGAAAGTGCTCAAGTAAAGCTCTGTAAACCTCCCTCTATTCGAGCGATCCCTACCCAATCGGCCCTTCACCAGACTCATAACCCGCTCACGATCTTCTGCAACACCGATGCTGCTTGGCGGGGTGATACAGGTAGAGTGGGATTGGCCTGGATTTTCACCAATCTTCAAGGACACGAGATCAATCGAGGATCCCTGCTATCCAGGAACATGTAGCTTCGGCTTGCATGGCGGAGGCGCTGGCGGTGAGAAACGCTCTACAACACGCGATCGATATCTCAACTACACTATCATCTGGCTATGATCAGATTCTCAAGTGCTCATTGGAGCTTTATCTGCGGGGCGCCATCCGACCGAGCTTTATGGAGTACTCTCGGACATCGCCTCTCTATCTTGTTCTTCCTCGTTTTCTTCATGTCGTTTTTCTTTCATCAAAAGGGAGCTTAATGGGCTTGCGGACTTATATGCTAAGGCATGCTTACATTCTGGCCCAAGCCTTTGTAAGCTTAAACATCTTTATCTTTAATCGAATTTCAGTTGTCCAAAAAAAATAATAATAATAACTTTCGTGTAAAGAAACACAGAAAGTCATTTAGGGTGGTAAAGTGGTATTGTGCATTCAGAATCTGTCAAATATGACGCAAAACTTCATTTTAAATGCAAAAATAACTCAAACGATTAGTGAAATTACAAACATCCCTCCATGACCAAACAAAAAAAAAACAGGATTATAGTTTATCATTATAACTTTGCGAGTGAGAAAACTTTCAGGTAAGTCTTCTCATGAGAAAACTTACTTGGAAATCTTCTCATGATGAATGTTATGCCCAAAATCGGGCCCATTGACTTCGGCAGTACGAGGCCCATCACGCAACGAAGATAACTATCGAGCAAATGAGCCAGTGAAGAACCCATCGAGTAAGACGAGAGCGGAAACCGAGGAAGAATCGTGGAATTAATTAGAGAAGAAGGAGGCTATTAAAGGGGAGCTAAAGAAGAGCATAAGACACACAAAAAAACCCTAGAGCAAATCACTACTCTCGTCGACCTCACTTCTTAATCTTTATTTCGTTATAGTTTTGATCTCTCTTTGTTGTTCTCGATCTTGATTATTACTTTGTACCGAACCATATATTCAATAAAGTCCATTTTTGTCAACCAAATTCCGATTATATTGTTGTGAAGAGCATCGTTGTCCACATCATTTGTCTTCCCTATATTAAACTCTTTGATCACTACAAAATACTTAGTGTGTATTTTAGGATCTACATTTTGGCGCGGACTGTGGGGAAGATAAATGAAAAACACCCTTGCTAAGAACCCGATCTAGGATTTCTAAGCACGATTATGGATCCAGACCAAACTCGATCCAGTTACACCAGAAGAAAAGTGGGTGATCGCGATAGATCAAGACCGAATACCATGGCGTCGTTAGAAGAAACATGGTCACCTAACAACAATACTAGCGACCCATCGAAAAGAAGAGCCCCATTTTGAGAAGCGATTCCCTCTCCAAAAATTCAATAGCCACCAGAGACCGAAGGAAAGCCTACCATCACTAAGGAGATCCCGGCCCCGAAAGAAACCTTGACTTTCTCGATATGCCACACATCGACGCCTTGATCTTCGCTATCGATTTAGCCGGAGTCACTGTAACAAGAGCCTTCATAGATACGGGGAGTGCCAGCAATATTCTCCCACAAGACACACTTCGATTGATAGGCCGAGATTGCCACACAGTCAGCTGAGAGATGGATCTCCATATCGAGATCGACGAAAAGAAAGTACAATTCTCGACCATTTAAATTACGACCAAGGTCCACGATCAAGAATTGGAGACCAAATTTGCCCTGACCAAAAACACATGCACTTCGACATTGTCTTAGGGAGATTTTGGTAGCATAAAATGAGGGTGAACCGTTCGATCTACCATCAGTGCGTAAAGTTCATATCACCCACCGGAGAAAGATAATCTACAGTAGCAAGAAAAATTCTAGAGCATGCTACATGGCAGGATTTTGAAAGATATATCCACGAGAAATGAACATCCTGACCTCTCGCAATCTCACGATCAGGAAACCCGAAAAAGGTCTCTTGAGCGCCATCCCACTCGACGAACAGTTCCCCGACAAGTGCGTTAACATCGGGAATGATCTCCCAGCGGAGATAAGATGTAATCTACCGTCTTTCCTGAAACAGAACATCAAAACGTTTGCATGGTCGGCCGCCGATATGCCTGATCGACATCACAATAGCGTCCCACCATTTAAATGTCGATCCTACACAAAAACCGGTCAAGCAGAAACGGAAAAAATTGGGTCCTGAACGATCAAACGCCATAAATGACGAGGTCGAGAAGTTAGTAAAAATTGGTTCCCTCCGCGAAGTCCAATATCCGGATTGGCTCGCCAACCCCATCATGGTAAAAAAAAAGAAAAATGTTGTATCTATTTCACCGATCTCAATAAAGCTTGTCCGAAAGATAGCATCCCACTGCCATATATCGACCTTCTGGTAGAAGACACGGCCGGGCACGAGTTACTGTCGTTCATGGATGCATTCTGTGGCTACAACCAGATCCTCATGAACCTCGAAGACCAAGAGAAAACGAGTTTTATCACCGAAGGCGCACTTATTGTTATAAAGTAATGCCTTTTGGACTAAAGAACACATGAGCTACCTACCAGCAACTAGTAAACAAAATGTTCGCTGACCTGCTCCGAAAAACAATGGAGGCTTACATAGACGACATGCTTGTCAAGTCATCAAAAGAAAACGATCACGTTCCTTAGCTTCAGGAATGCTTCAACATCCTTAACAAGTTCGAAATGAAACTAAACACGACCAAGTGCACTATCGGGTATCTGGTGACAGAAAGGGGAATCAAAGCTAATCCGAAACAAATCACAGCGCTCGTAGACACTTTACCGCCAAACTCCATCAGCGAAGTACAACGACTTACCAAAGAGATTGCAGCGTTAAATCATTTTATCTCAAGGTCGACCGATAGATGACTTCCATTCTACAAGCTCCTGAAAGGGAACAAAAATGTTTGAATGGAACAGAGAATGCGATGTCGCGTTAAAAGAACTCAAAGAATACATAAGCCAGCCTCCAGAATTATCAAAACCAATCGAAGGCAAAACATTTTTCCTATATGTAGCTACTTCAGAGTACGCGGTCAGTAGTGTATTAATCCGGGAAGAAAGCGGCGAACAAAAACCGATCTATTATGCCAGCAGATCTCTGATCGACGCCGAAACAAGATATCCCGCGATGGAGAAATTAGCCATAGCAGTCGTCACAACTGCAAGAAAATTAAGGCCGTACTTCCAATCGCACTCGATCATAGTAA